ACGTTCAGCAGTATCTCTATACTGCATGTATAAACAGATAAAGGAAATGTGTCAAAAAAAACACAAACAAAACAAAACCAAACAAAACAAAAAAAACGCCGTATATATTTACAGCCATTACTTGTGCTAAGGGGCTCATTTTTGGCCGAGGTTCCACATGCCATACCTGACTATATCCACTATTTACGCCACTCTCGTTCATGCCGCTATTAGAGAATTTACTTTACTTTACCTTTTACAAACCTTCTCACCAAGCGCAAATATTCTTTTGTTTTCTACTACTTGGACTTTTTTGCGATTCTTTTTTAGTAATTTAAAAGAATTTTTTACTGGTCAACTGACGTTTCACGTTTGCCGTGAACGTAAATCTAAAACTCTCTATTTTCGTGGATTCCCTGACGCGATATTAACTGTTGTTTCGATCTCAAAGGAGGCACACCAATAAAAGGTTTTCGTCTGGGATACTAAATTCTTCAGTATAAATCAGATTAGACCAGATTGAATTATTCCTGTCTCCCGTCATGGCGGCCATTACGTGATGGTGGTTGTTACGAGAAACAGACATTCTTTATTCGTATTCTATTTTAAGCACTCTGATTATTCGTTGTTTGTTAACATGAAAAGACGAAAATGTTGGTGAAGAAATACGATTTTGCCGCTTCCACGACGGGATGACATACACCTATTTCAATACATGTTGTCATCACCAAAGGCGATAGGCAACACGCGATAGGCGAAGGGCAATAGGAGATAACGGGTCATTCCAAGATCTAACAATAGATCGAAATACTTTTATTTCTACATCTTATTCTCGTCAAGAGCATGGACCTTAGTGTTGAGACTGATTCAATATGTTGTTTAATTGTAGTCGACGAAACCCTTTCCGTCTAGGAATGATCTATCGCCCATCCCCTTTGGCAATGACAGCTTTTTTTTTTTTTTTTTTTTTTTTTTTTTTGTTGAAATGGGTGTACAAGGCAAAGAAGGATCATAGGTCCCTTTTTAAAGTTTTGAAGGTTTCAAGTTACCCCCCTTCCCCCATTGCCCCATTTCTAGTTTTGGAGCTCTCGCTACGTCACTATAACACTTCTTCTGTAATCAATACGATCTGGGATCAGATTTCCAATTCCACTAATGGGTTACCATCGTATCCTTGAAACTTGCTGACAGTTGTTGACTAACGTTATTGATTCACCATGTAAGGTGTCACATTTATATCACTTTTCCACATGAAGTTTATATTTTAAAACATTTAGGCAAATCCTTGCCACGTTCATACAGATTGACGGGTTTGATAAAACCCCTTCAATCTCATATTTGATTTTGTTCGGGCTTTTTAAAGCCTCATTACGTCAAAATATCTTATGTACATAGAATACAACAGGTCTTTTATGCCTTTTATACCCCGTTAATGCTCTTTTTCCGTCCATCTTAATTATTTTACCTCAATACATTCAAATTCAAATAGGAAACACTCGAGTATGAAGGCACAACTGAAAATATGATTCTAACTAAGCAACCGAATGACAAAGAAAACCTTGACAAATAAGAAGTTTGATCTAATAACATAAGCAAGAAGGCTTTTGATTTGTGAATGGAACATTTTCGAATCAGCTGCAGTTCAGACTCTTACAATGCCAAAACCACGTGATTTCAAGAGACTAGAAGTACTCTATTCCAGCCCTCATATTTAGGACTTCTACTTGCCTTCGACAATGTATAGAGAATTTATTCTTTTGTATTTTGTGTGGTTTGTCGTTCAGATCTGCACAGGACAAGATGTGCGAGATCTCATTTGTCCAACTCGAGATTCGGTAGGAGCCCTGATCAGCAAGACAGACATGGCACTCAAAGGACACGTTAGAAAAACCCTGGAGAAAACCACCTTTATTCAGTGTAGTCTTCGCTGTCTAAAGGACGATTGGTGTGTCTCGGTCAATTGTGAAATCCAAAAGAGAAAGGGAAAGTGTGAGTTGAATGACTATGGAGTTGAAGACGAGACAAGCGTATCGATAGAGAAAGGAGAATTTGAGAAGAAAGAAGGGTTTGTATATACTCAACTCAGACCAGCTGGGGTAAGTTCCATGATGTTGGTTTGATGACATTAGTAGATGGTGAAAAATAAATACACTGGAAAAACAAAAGAAAGGAAAGGAAGATGCAAATATTTAATCAACAATAACAACAAACAAAACGAAANAAAAAAAAAAAAGAAAAGAAAAAGAAAAAGAAAAAAAAAGAAAGAAAGAAAAAAGAAAGAAAGAGAGAATAAAGAAAAGAAAAAACTTGAAAAAAGGCTGGCTGAACTAAATAAAGTTGATCAGTTCCTTAATATTTAGAGAAGCAAAACTGTTTTCTTTTCCATTGAGGGATATGTATTTACATTATCTAAACATTTTCTTATTTGGTTCAAAATAGCATTTTAATGCAAAGGCAAAGGAAAGGACTAAAAAAAATGAAAACTATATTAAGAATATTTTGAAAAGATTTCTTCAAAGGAAACTTTCGAAAGTAAATGATTTTTCGAATATCTTATATCTGAAAACTCCCGATCATTTGCACCAAGCCGAGCTTTCTGAGCATGAGGCTAACAGGCTCATGAACGAAGCAAGTATAAGAAAAACGGTGAAGTCGCATGTTTTCCTGCTTGGTCTGCGCGCGTGAACTAATAAGGAGATGAAGGACTTTTCGAAATTCTAACCCAAGGACTGAAATATATATATCGATGGAAAGTGAGATGTTAAGGGTGACAATAATTACGAAAATCTCTTTTAAACGGGGAAATAATTTACATTTGATGACATGAAGATGAAATATTGCCAGTTCAAAAATGCATGTTTAAAGTGTAAAATTCCATCTACAGATCAAATAGGTACTTTATTCAYACATACACTGTTACTAGTTTGAAATCAAGATTGCATCTTGTTGTGAATAAAAGATGGATTTGGTAGAGAAATTCATTCAATATATGAATGTATTGACAGCTTCAAATTAATCAGATTTGTTTTGTTATATTTTATGAGTCGCAAAGGTCGAAAAGCACAATCGCTACTTTTTGTCTTGATGACATCTGAACAATGAAATGAAAAATTCGGTTCAACATTGGGGAAATAACAATTTAAAATGAATACAAACGCTACTAAATTACAGCCTTTCGTCCGATGTCATTTATCAGTATTCATTTTAAACTATTATCAAAAGCTAAACTTGTCGAAATAACAATTACTAAATCAATTAAAGAAGTTGGAATAAAGACAAAAAAACAACAACGAAACAAAATAAAAGAGCCGAAGAAAATTGGGGGAAAAAAACAATGACAACGTTATGAAAAGTTTGGCAAGTGAAAAAAATATTTGTGTTAGAAACAATGGAGTCCAATAAAGATTAGATTAAATGTAAAATATAAAAAATAATTTTCACATCAATAAGATAAATTTAAATTAAAAACTCAAATCAAACACGCAGAAGATGAACTTCAAGATTAAGGCAGAAGGGGGTTGCTGACATGAATGACATAATATAAGGGCAACCTGCGATGGTCTTTCAGTGCTTACCCTAACATACTCACGATCTGTGGTGTATGTATGCGAACAAAGTCCTACTAAATGTATGTTTCACTGGGGACTATTTTCAACTCACTTTCATCCAAGAAACATTAATTTAAACACAATTATAAAATTTTCCTGATTTCTATTTTCCTTATTTTATCCCACTGATTCATTCTTTTTAAAAGGGTCTTATTAGCACTGCATATTTTTTTATGTTGTGACTTAGAAATTAACATATAAAACTTTTTAATGTTTTGGTCTTGATAATCATGAACATGACACATGAACAAGTTATTGGCTGCTAAAGATCTGATTTTGGTAATAATCCTTGCTAACACGACGAAGTTATGGTGTTGACGGCGGAAATTTAAATAGCTTAAACTAAAATTTTCCCAAAGAAAAGTTTAAATCCTAATAAATGCCTAATAATAAAGGGACATGACGAGCCACGTACCTTGCTTGTTATGGTGGTCCAGGTGCTAATTAGTTTTAATGTTTGGCTTTGCACAATCACGTGTCATTGCAGCCATGACAGAAGGTACAACTATGAAGTCTTTTCCTTCTGGGAAACTGAACTACGATTTTTCATGTAAATAAGATTTAACTTATGAGATTCAATAGGCCCTTTGCAGCTCAGCAATCACGTGCTGATTAATTCACTGAGAGCAATGAATGATCATTTTGATTCCCATGGGTGAAATATACTGGTGAGCAAACACTTTCTACAACCTGTTTCGAAATATTTGATTGAATATAAAAATATTTCATAATTTGCTCAGTGAATAATCTCTATATATAATGTACAATAATGTACAGAGCAAATTATGAGATTTAATCTTTATCTGAAGCGATAGGAATAGCATTTTTCTTTAAATTCGGCAACAGAGGAAACTATAAAATATAATTATACTGAACTAGATTGTTATTGCACATTTAGGTTCGGTAAAATCACATTATTCAAATTTTCCAGTTTACCGTGAAGTCATATCGAATGGTTTTCAATTCACGGCTTTATCACACTGGCGCCGACCCTAAAAGTGTATAAATTCATATATATATATATATATAGCTAGATGTTTCAGGCGAAATATTCTGTGTTAATATAGTTCTAATCTAAACCGTTGCTTAACTGACATATGTAAATAAATATGTTTTAATCATTTAGTTTCAATGTAACGTGGAAGGTTGCCAGAATGGCGGCTCGTGCAATGTGGATTGTAAAAGCTGGAAATCAAAATGTCTTTGTGCTAAAGGATACACAGGAACAAGATGTGAATATGGTACGCATTATATTTCGTGGAATAATACTACTTTATAAAACGCCACGTAAACGTTTGGACTATTTATTTCACAGATATCAACGAGTGTTCTAGTAATCCATGTCTTCACGGTGGAACATGTACAGATCAGGTCAATGGCTACTCGTGTACATGTGCTGCAGGATACAATGGAGCAAACTGTGAAAATAGTAAGTTTGAAGTGATTATGTCTATTGAATAGAGTACAGATCAATATGGAGCCATTTTTTTTTTCAGATATCAACGAGTGTTTTAGTAATCCATGTCAAAGCGGTGGAACATGTACAGATCAGGACAATGGCTACTCGTGTACATGTGCTGCAGGATACATTGGAATGAATTGTGAAAATAGTAAGTTTGAAGTGATTTTGCCTATTGAATAGAATACAGATCAATATGAAGCCATTTGTTTACAGATATCAACGAGTGTTTTAGTAATCCATGTCAAAACGGTGGAACATGTACAGATCAGGTCAATGGCTACTCGTGTACATGTGCTGCAGGATACAATGGAACAAACTGTGAAAATAGTAAGTTTGTAGTGATTATCGTTTATTTAAAAGAATACAGATCAATATGGAGCTATTATTGTTTACAGATATCAACGAGTGTTCAAGTAATCCATGTCTTCACGGTGGAATATGTACAGATCAAGTCAATGGCTACTCGTGTATCTGTGCTGCAGGATATGATGGAGCACATTGTGAAAACAGTACGTTTTTCTAATTTTCTGATACCACTTTAAACCTTTTTTACATGGTTCTCTTTTCATCATGTGTCTCACAGGACGTGTTTGTGAACTATACTTCCCCCRTGCAGATACGAGTAGCTACACGACGGGCACTTGGTCAGCATCCTCTTCCATTGATGAGTTCACTGTATCATTTTGGCTCAGAGTTAGTACATTCATTCTATTTCTTAAGTTGTGTGCGATGTAATAGATCAAAAACGAGAGCGAGTGTTTGATCAGGGCATCCAAATACCGAGAAACAAATGAAAACACGATGCCGTAGGCCGAGTGCTGTTATTGTTTCGAGGTGTTTGCATACCCTGATCAAACACGAAGCACGAGTTTTTGAACTTACTTCTCAGTCTCATCATAATTCATTTGTTCTTGAATTTCCTGAGACTAAAAAAGTGATCAGTGTTTGATCAGTGTTTTGATCCGTTTTTGATCAAGTATCAAGGTGCGTGCACGTGACTACAATGCAAAGTCGCATTGACTTCATGAATTATTATTGAGTTTGAGAAGGGCCCCTCAGTAGCATCACTGGTTATCAGCTACTGTCGCATCGGTCCTCACACATCTGCTTCATCTGGGGTCTCATGGGATTGCGCTTTTACTTTGTCGACAATTGGTGCGCTTATCTTGATAGATGCTGAATATTCTGACCCTGCACTCTCAGATGGATTTGTCAGCCCCAATCCACCCATACGCACAGAAAGTGCCAGCAGATCTCTCTCAGTCGGAAAACAGTTCTGTTCTGTGAGTGATGGTATAAGGATATCAGAGATAACGCGCTCCAGCGGTTCCAGTAGATCCTCAATGTCCGGCAAGGTCCCCATGAAGTACGTCCACTTATGCTTTAGCCCGAAGGCTTGTGGTTGAGATGTTGCAAACTCCGCTAGTGTGGTTACTTCACTGAACCACTCCTTTACTTTACTGCCAACATACTCCTCAAGATACGACCTTTGTCCGAGCGCAGCGCCAAGGTGTTTACGCCCTTCATTGGTGATGTTGATCCCAGTCCCCGCAAAGAAATCCTTTGCACCGTCCACCTTCTCCGGCTTTACAACAAGCCAACACTTCTTGACATTAGCATAGTATCCCAGAGCTAGACCAGCTTCTACTAGCTGGTCCTTCCCTTTCCTGACCTATCCTAGCGAACCCGCTCCAGTGGCATCGGCATAACAGCATTGCTTTGCAGAACTACGAACGCTCAAGGGTGTAATCAAAGGTTGGAAGCTGATTGCATATAATTAAGCTCATAGCTAATGGGTCCCCTTGTGTAGTTCCTTCCAAAGACATTAGCTCTTTTCCTCCGATCACAAAAAGGCTTACAGGCTCTATGTTGATTGCATAGATGGCGATAACTGGGCATAAAATTCTGACGTTGTGCAGCGCTGTCGCTCTGTTATGCGAGTGAAAAGCATTATTATTATTATTATTATTATTATTATTATTATTATTATTATTATTATTATTATTATTATTATTATTACTATAATATTGCGCGATATTAAAAATGATATGATCATATCAGCCTAACCAGTCTTGATTATATCTACAACATTTCTTTTGAGAATACGGCTCCAAAATCGCTCCCGGCCACAACTGGCCGACTTAAGAAATTCATAACATTCCGTCGTGCAATTACAGGTGCCTTCAAGCTGCACAAAGGAACTAGTTGTCTTTTCGTACTGGACGTCATCAATTCCGATGGCCTTAATTGTAAATATAAAGGAGCATGCAACCGTTCATACAAATACGGAAATCGAAGTTATGGGTGACAAAAAGTAAGTATATAAGTCACAAGGCTCAGTTTGCACTGCAGTTTATCTATTTGACTATACCTCTTAACCCCTATCTCAATTCCCAAGTGTATTAAAGTTGAGGCGGCTTTTAAATCTTTATGAATTCTTCAAGGGATGATTTGGGGATAACGAGGTAATTAGATATGCAGGGGAAATTTATATTTAAAAAATTGGACTACGAGGTCGAGTTTTCTATTTTGTGATAACCGAGTTCAATAATTGCTTTTTATTTACATGTGAAGATAAAACATTTCAAGCTTCAGGGCCGTAACCAGAACTTTTACGGGGAGGGTGCACACCGAATAAAATCGGACCATTGATCGTTTCTTTTAAGAAAGCAGAACCAAAAAAACAAAAACAAAAACAAAAAAAAAGGAGATGGATGAGCGNNGGGGGGGGGGGGGGGTGCACGTGCACCCTGTGCTCCCCCCCTAGTTACGGCCCTGAGCTTAGTTAGCAACAACAAGCAAGAAACAGCATGCAACTTGCACAAAAATATTAAACAACATTTTTTAAGAATAGCTGTATTAGCTTCTCCACTTCGAGTCTCGTTAAATCATTAATATATATTCACCGATATTCACTTAGCCTTCGAAGAACAAGTGTTAAATACTTCAAGGGCGGATCCAGAAACATTTTAGGGGGGGGAGGGGGAGGGGGGGGAGGGGCTTATTGATTTTCTTCCGTCAACACAACGGAAAGCAATATATAAAAGCATCGTTTTTTTCTGCTGAAGGGGGGCTTCAGCCCCCCTTTGCCCCCCCCCTGGATCCGCCCTTGTACTTCCCCCTGTACACTAAATTAGAAGGAAGTTGAGCACGGCAATGCTTCGGTTCAAGTACAAGCTTAGTAAACAAAAAGCAAGATGCAAGATGCAGCATACATCAGAAAAACAAACCCTCGCCAACCAATTTTTAAATATCTGTAGACAAAGTTTATATTTCCATATTGTATTCCGGTAGACTGCTCGATCGTGAAATATCTCTTTTATTCTATCAGGACAGTGAGATCATTTTTTAAGCGTGACAGCACCTGGCAACACTGTTGCGTGACCTGGGATCGAAACGTACCTAGGAAACCGGGTCAGGTTATTTTCTACCGTAATGGAGCTGAAACCGACAGAGATAAAGATTTAAGTAAAAACCGTGGCATCAGTACTGGAGGCATCTTTGTTATCGGTCAGTACCAAACATCTATTGGAGGAGGTTTTGACGACGGCAAACTCTTGGTTGGTAAAGTGATAGGTTTAAATATCTGGTCACGAGCTTTCACGGCCAACGAAGTTCTTGATCTTTCCAAAAACTGCACCACCCCACAAGGCGACGTGGTGTCGTGGGACAACATTGTCTCCAGCCAGTTACATGGATCAGTACAGAAAACATACCCATCAAGTTGCTCGCCTTGAAGTAAGACTTTGATTATATCGGCCATCTTTGTTTAGGATACTACCACAGAAAGCCCAAGCTTTTTTTTTGTGTCACTGTACTATAGTTTAAATGTATGTGGCTGGCAAGTAAACCAGATATTTAGAATATTTTGTTTTTATGTTTTGAGGCGTTGTTAGCATTGTTAGCATGTTTTCATATTAAAAAGGGTCATTTAATCTCTTACAATTTCGAGCAACTTTTTCAATTACTGGAAACTTTTTTCCATATAAGCAACTTTTTTAACATTGAGCAAATATTACTCTCTTATTTTCCTCGAGTTCTAGCAAATTAGTAAGCCCAATAACAGAATATAAGTTGTTTTCTTGTCGTTCAAAGTTTCAAAAATAGCTAATTTGTACAATTTAAACATTGGTTACCTGTGGTAATCTATGCATGCGATCAGAAAGTCAGCGGTTTTACTGTTAAAACAAAATGGCGGATACATGTTCCAGTGATTCGGAAGAAG